GCTAGATTACATGTCCATTCTGCATTTTTCTGGATACTCTGCCTAGTTGTGCGCTATTTATGTGTTTCGTGAGTTATGATGCGATCCACGTCAAATTATGCGATATTATGCGGTCCGGAAATGAGCTCAGACGGTCATGTACATACCTAAACCATCGATAATTTTTCGTTTCTAAGTGTTTTGAAAAATTATGCGATTATGCGATCGCATACAGTGCACATCCCTATAAATCATGCATTTTAATAAAACAAATGGTTGTAATAAAATGCCGCTGTTAATTTTTTAAACATGTGAACCCATAAGATATGCTTGCCGCTTTAAAAGAAAAGCTGGGCATTTACTACACACAATTGCTGATTTAACGGCCAGTAACGTTACCGGTAAAGTAAGGTAAAGTAACAGTAACGTACGGTACTGTACCTAACACCCGGTACAGTTGGTAATCTTGTTAACGTGCGGTAGCCTACCTACAAGGGAAAAAGCACTGCAGCCTCTCTTAAATTGACCTGTTAGTCAAAATACAAATGGTACCTAGGCCGTCTGGGAACATCTCGCTAAAATATGGGATTTTGTTCCAGCAAGGATAAAAATGTTCCGCCCTCCAAAGTCGGCCCAGGGCGTAAGTGGCCAAGACTTTTCGCGCTCTGAGCCGTTTTCAGAGGGCTGCAGCTCCGTAACCTTGGTGGAACAAAATCCGGCGACCACGCTAGGTGGTAGCTAGGCCGTCTGGGAACACCTCGGGAAAATATGGAATTTTGTTCCAGCAAGGATAAAAATGTCTCGCCCTCCAAAGTCGGCTCAGGGCCCTGGGTAAAAAAACCATGGGGCTGTCCATGAGCCATGGACATAAATTTAACCATGGATTTTTCTGACCATAGATTTATGGAACCAGTAAACCATGAAAACAACAGTTGACCATGAGTATATAGTGGATGGATTGCATGGCCATGGCTAATGTGCTCCATGGCAAGGGATGACCATGAGAATTGGCTTTCATGGTCACAACTAAGTCCATGAATGTGTCCATGGTTACTATTACCATTGTCATGTAGAACTTCCATGAACACACGTTTGGACATGATACTGTTATCAATGGACACAAATACCATAATAGAACTAATCAATGGCCAACTGTATTAGTAATGGACATGGGATGTTTTCCTCATGGTCTCCGTGTTCATGGTCTACGTTTATCATGGCGAGGGTTTGT